CCGTTTCTTTCGTTGAAAAGATTATAATTTGAGTTACATATGCTGATAATTTCATAATGATTTTTTAAAATCCCGATTTATTACGATTTTTCTTAAAATTAACTTGTGATAATTGTTATCCCTAGGACATGAAATATCTTTAAAACTAATATCTCAAAAACTAACAAATACTTTGAAAATCCGTTTCTTTTATTGGAAAGCTAACAATTTGTGTAACAAATGCTGATAATTTCACAATGATTTAATAAAATCCCGATTTGTTATGATTTTTTAAAAATGATTGAATATAATTGTTTTATATCTGCAAAATGAGAAAATGCCTTAGGTATAAAAGTTAATATCTCAAGAACTAAAAGATATTTTGAAAATCCGTTTCTTTTGTTTGAAAGGTTATAATTTGAGTTAGATGTGCTGGTAATTTCATAATGATTTATTAAAATCCCGATTTATTGCGATTTTTTGAAAATTTAATGGTGACAAATGTTCTTTTTAGAAAATGAAAAAATAGGGAGTTGTGTTTAAAAGTTAATATCTCAAGAACCAAAAGATATTTTGAAAATCCGTTTTTTTTATTTGAAAGCTTATAATTTGATTTATATATGCTAATAATTTCATAATGATTTTTTAAAATCCCGATTTATTACGATTAAATGATTGAATATAATTGTTTTATATCTGGAAAATGAGAAAATGCCTTAGGTATAAAAGTTAATATCTCAAGAACTAAAAAATATTTTGAAAATCCGATTCTTTTGTTTGAAAGGTTATAATTTGAGTTAGATGTGCTGGTAATTTCATAATAATTTATTAAAATCCCGATTTATTGCGATTTTTTGAAAATTTAATGGTGATAAATGTTTTTTTTAGAAAATGAGAAAATAGGGAGTTGTGTTTAAAAGTTAATATCTCAAGAACCAAAAGATATTTTGAAAATTCGTTTCTTTTATTTGAAAGCTTATAATTTGAGTTACATATGCTGATAATTTCAAAATGATTTTTTAAAACCCCGATTTATTACGATTTTTAAAAAATTAAGTTGTGATAATTGTTATCCCTAGGACATGAAATATCTTTAAAACTAACAAATACTTTGAACATCCGTTTCTTTTATTGGAAAGCTACCAATTTGTGTAACAAATGCTGATAATTTCACAATGATTTAATAAAATCCCGATTTGTTATGATTTTTTAAAAATGATTGAATATAATTGTTTTATATCTGGAAAATGAGAAAATGCCTTAGGTATAAAAGTTAATATCTCAAGAACTAAAAGATATTTTGAAAATCCGTTTCTTTTGTTTGAAAGGTTATAATTTGAGTTAGATGTGCTGGTAATTTCATAATGATTTATTAAAATCCCGATTTATTGCGATTTTTTGAAAATTTAATGGTGATAAATGTTCTTTTTAGAAAATGAGAAAATAGGGAGTTGTGTTTAAAAGTTAATATCTCAAGAACCAAAAGATATTTTGAAAATCCGTTTCTTTTATTTGAAAGCTTATAATTTGAGTTACATATGCTGACAATTTCATAATGATTTTTTAAAACCCCGATATATTACGATTTTTTAGAAATTAAGTTGTGATAATTGTTATCCCTAGGACATGAAATATCTTTAAAACTAATATATCAAAAACTAACAAATACTTTGAAAATCCGTTTCTTTTATTGGAAAGCTAACAATTTGTATAACAAATGCTGATAATTTCACAATGATTTAGTAAAATCCCGATTTGTTATGATTTTTTAAAAATGATTAAATATAATTGTTTTATGTCTGCAAAATGAGAAAATGCCTTAGGTATAAAAGTTAATATCTCAAGAACCAAAAGATATTTTCAAAATCCGTTTCTTTTATTTGAAAGCTTATAATTTGAGTTACATATGCTGATAATTTCATAATGATTTTTTAAAACCCCGATTTATTACGATTTTTTAAAAATTAAGTTGTGATAATTGTTATCCCTAGGACATGAAATATCTTTAAAACTAATATCTCAAAAACTAACAAATACTTTGAAAATCCGTTTCTTTTATTGGAAAGCTAACAATTTGTGTAGCAAATGCTGATAATTTCACAATGATTTAGTAAAATCCCGATTTGTTATGATTTTTTAAAAATGATTAAATATAATTGTTTTATATCTGGAAAATGAGAAAATCCCTTAGGTATAAAAGTTAATATCTCAAGAACTAAAAGATATTTTGAAAATCCGTTTCTTTTGTTTGAAAGGTTATAATTTGAGTTAGATGTGCTGGTAATTTCATAATGATTTATTAAAATCTCGATTTATTGCAATTTTTTGAAAATTTAATGGTGATAAATGTTCTTTTTAGAAAATGAGAAAATAGGGAGTTGTGTTTAAAAGTTAATATCTCAAGAATCAAAAGATATTTTGAAAATCCGTTTCTTTTGTTTGAAAGCTTATAATTTAAGTTACATATGCTGATAATTTCATAATCATTTTTTTAAATCCTGATTTATTACGATTTTTTAAAAATTAACTTGTGATAATTGTTATCCCTAGGACATGAAATATCTTTAAAACTAATATCTCAAAAACTAACAAATACTTTAAAAATCCCTCTCTTTTATTGGAAAGCTAACAATTTGTGTAATAAATGTTGATAATTTCACAATGATTTAATAATATCCCGATTTGTTATGATTTTTTAAAAATTATTGAATATAATTGTTTTATATCTGGAAAATGAGAAAATGCCTTATGTATAAAAGGTAATATCTCAAGAACTAAAAGATATTTTGAAAATCCGTTTCTTTTGTTTGAAAGTTTATAATTTGAATTAGATATGCTGGTAATTTCATAATGATTTATTAAAATCCCGATATATTACGATTTTTTGAAAATTTAATGGTGATAAATGTTCTTTTTAGAAAATGAGAAAATAGGGAGTTGTGTTTAAAAGTTAATATCTTAAGAACCAAAAGATATTTTCAAAATCCGTTTTTTTTATTTGAAAGCTTATAATTTGACTTATATATGCTGATAATTTCATAATGATTTATTAAGACTTCGATTTATTGCGATTTTTTGAAAGATTAGTTGTGAAAATTTTTCCTTAGAAAATAAGAAAAAAATGAAGTTGTGTTTAGAAATGAATATCTCAAAAACTAAAAGATATTTTAAAAATCCGTTTCTTTTGTTTAAAAGCTTATAATTTGATTTACATATGCTGATAATTTCATAATGATTTATTGAAACCTCGATTTATTGCGATTTTTTGAAAAATTAGTTGTGAAAATTTTTCCTTCGAAAATAAGAAAAAAATTAAGTTGTGTTTAGAAATGAATATCTCAAAAACTAACAGATATTTTAAAAATCCGTTTCTTTCGTTGGAAAGCTTATAATTTAAGGTACATATGCTGATAATTTCATAATGATTTATTGAAATTGTGATTTGTTATGATTTTTTGAAAATGATTGAAAATAATTGTCTATCCCGAAAAATGAGATATTGCCTTATGTTGTTCAAAAGTTAATATCTCAAGAACTAAAAGATATTTTGAAAATCCGTTTCTTTTGTTTGAAAGCTTATAATTTGAGTTAAATGTGCTGATAATTTCATAATGATTTTTTAAAATCCCGATTTATTACAATTTTTTAAAAATTAACTTGTTATAATTGTTATCCCTAGGACATGAAATATCTTTAAAACTAATATCTCAAAAACTAACAAATACTTTGACAATCCGTTTCTTTTATTGAAAAGCTAACAATTTGTGTAACAAATGCTGATAATTTCACAATGATTTAATAAAATCCCGATTTGTTATGATTAAATGAATGAATATAATTGTTTTATATCTGGAAAATGAGAACATCCCTTAGGTATAAAAGTTAATATCTCAAGAACTAAAAGATATTTTGAAAATCCGTTTCTTTTGTTTGAAAGGTTATAATTTGAGTTAGATGTGCTAGTAATTTCATAATGATTTATTAAAATCCCGATTTATTGCGATTTTTTGAAAATTTAATGGTGGTAAATGTTCTTTTTAGAAAATGAGAAAATAGGGAGTTGTGTTTAAAAGTTAATATCTCAAGAACCAAAAGATATTTTGAAAATCGGTTTCTTTCATTGGAAAGCTAACAATTTGTGTAACAAATGCTGATAATTTCACAATTATTTAGTAAAATCCCGATTTACTATGATTTTTTAAAAATGATTGAAAACACATTCTTAAAACGTCTTTATAAAAGGATTTTTTTTTAATTTTTAAAAGTTCTAAATATATTTCCACCCTTACGAATAACTTTTCGACCTGTTGCTTCAAAACTCGTTCGAAAGAACCTTTCGAATACAAAACTAATTTCAAATAAATTCTTATTCTATTTTTACACTTACCTTTTTAATTATTATTAATTTTTCTTTTTTAATTCACTTCATAACCGAACCCATTAACTTTTATTTAAAACAAATTCACTTTTAATTTTAATTAATAATTTAATAATAATAATAATCACAAAACTAGTTTATTTTATTTTATTTTATTTTATACTTTTTTGTTGTAGAGATTGAAACTTTTTTCAACGTAAAAATTAAACACTTTATTAGCGTATATCTCGTTTGAACGTTGTAGGTGAACTGAAAACCGTTTCATTTTCAGGCGGGATGCTGCTGCATCCAGCAGGAACTTGCGCGATGCCTGCTGAAATTTACAGCAACCAGAGACCTAAAACCCTGAGGAATGTAAAATAATAAAGTTTCATTTTCGAGTCATTCCCCACAGCGAAAAAATTCAAAAGAAATCTTTTTCTTCGTTTTAATTTACGAAATGATTTTCGAAATTATTTTAAATTAAATGGATCTTGAGTCAAGAGGAACGATTTATATTGAATTATTGAGTAGCGGATCTATTTTCGAATCGATGTTGTAAATATTTCTTTAAAATACGTTTCAAGATCGTTTCACAAGAACTTTGAATCACACAAAATAACGGTTTTATTTATTAACTTAAATTATTTTATAAATAACAAATTTAATCTAATTTTTTATAATTTCCCCCATGGTAAGGGGCTTTATCTTTAAAATCATAACCGGGTAAAATTTCGACGTCATCATGATGATACAAATCGATATCATCACCTTTTTTATTAGTTTTTTCATCATTTTTCTCATTTTCTTTATCTCCATCATCATCTTCGCCACCACCGTGATTAAAATCGAAATAATATTCGCCATAACCCCCTTTATCATCGCCCCATTTCACTTTTCCTTGATGCCTATTATTGTCTAAATGAATTTTTTCAAATCTTTGCTCCCATCTTAATGGATCTTCAAAAACATGACCGAATTCTTTTTCGTCCGGGATTAATTGAGCTGAATAAATATCCCTAAAAAAAACGTTTTAATCAAAAATTATTTATTTTAATAAAAAACTCACTGGAAATATTTCTTAACATCCTTTTTTTCGTCTAAATCTTTATTATTATCTTGATCCCGATGATTTTTTCGTTTTCTTTGGGGACTTTTCCGATGATAATCATAATCCTTATCATTTTTAGTTGCAAAAGCGCCGATTAATACACTCAGAATTAAAAGAACCTTCACAAATACACTCAAATCCATCGTTAGTTATCAAGACACTTTCCGTTTTGCAGAAAGTGACTCCTATTTATAAACAATTCCGGTCATGCATTAAGATGTTGGGAAAGCTACCAACCGTAGAAACCTTGAGGTTTTTTCACATTTTTGAACATTTTTTAAGCATCACGGTTCATTAAAGGAAATTGGAAATAATAAAATACGTTTTGATGACTTTCTCTTTGATTTAAAACAATTTCTACGCGTTTATTTTATAGAGAAAGTGATCGTTTTATTTTAAATAAGATTAATTTCTTTTTATTTTTGATTTTTTATAAAACTTAATCGTTTAATTTAAATTCTTGCAATAATAAATCGTTTTATGCGACATCTACCGCTCAAATTTCCAATTTAATATATCTAGTGTTACAATTGTGTAATAGATGGCGGTAATAAAATATTATTTTAATAGCTTTTAGGATATCCCTTGATATAGACGCTTTGGCATAGATTTTACCACCTTTAATGTTTTTTCCGATGTTATTTTGCTCCTTTAGCATTGTTTTTGAAGTTATGTCATCTTGCCAAATCTTACACTCCAATAAATCCCATAGATGCTCAATGGGATAGAATTCTAGTGATTGTGGAGGTGTTGTAATTGTATATAGTAGCTAGAGTTTAACTATTTCTGCACTGTGCTTAGAATCGTTATCTCGTTGGACCAAGAAACCATTCTCTAAGTCTAATTTTGCAACGCTCTGCTTCAAATACGATTTAAGTATATCCAAATATCTGTACTTGTCCATAATTCAGTGATTCCAAATATACAGAATTTGCTTTCATAGGAGAAAATTACTTGTGTGACAGTTGTATTAAATTATGGCTGCTCATATGTTGCAAACACCAACAACTTTCTGGAACTATATCAGAATGAGCCAGTTTTGTGTGATCTGACCAGAAAGGACTATAAAAACGAGAGTTCGGTGCAGCTGCAGCAAAAAGAATTGCAACTGCAATCAAAATTGATGGACCATTATATCCAATATATATGTTAATGCGTAGTTCTTCACGGATGGAGAAGTAAGTGTTGCTGTGGTCGATCCGAGATATTATCCATTCCTCAGACGAGCCAGCAACTCCCTTCTCAGAGAAGAAATTCGCCAAACGACGAAGAATCTTAACGACACTAAATACGAGCTCTACAAAATTCATCTATTCCTGAGCCAAGAGTTGGACACCATCATCTGGTCCCGCTTAGAAGTCAAAACAAAGCTCTAAAAAGCAAGAAACTCCAAAAGAAATTCGAGGGCTTTCAAACGGAATCCACCGAAACACCCACCTCTCCAGACCCAGAAAATCGTCCACAACGAATCCAACTTAACTACTATGAACCACCCAAGCCCAACTTGGTTCCAAGCTCTAAAACGTCTCAAAAATAACGTCATCATACCGGCGAACAAATAGTTATGGATTCAGTGGACTATAAGAACAAGATCACGGACTCTCCAAGCAGCAGCAAGAACCCCTACAACTTACCTGGAAAAAAACACCAAATCGAAAATAGACCCCGAGATTAAGAAAACCTTAATCCCTCACGATTTTTATTCCCAAACTTTATGGTCTGCCCAAAATCCACAAGCCGGATGTTTTGACCCATCGTCAGCGCCTTCAACTCACCGCTACAAAAACTTGTGAAGTATCTAGCCAAGATCTTGAATGATGTCAAGTCTCTCTATACCAGTATTCCCATCGAAGAGGCCCTCAAACAAATCAGAGAGAACGAAGATTGCCTCAATAATGCTTATTTTAGCAGCCATGGGTTCTTCGCTATCCGCAGTCATCGCCAACCTCTTCATGATTTACTTCGAGAGAAAAGCGTTAATAGAGACCAGACACAAACCCAAGTTATAGATTCTCTACGTCGATGATGTCTTCGTCATTTGGCCTTTTGGAAAAGAAAAGTTCCATGAGTTTCAGGAGTACCTAAATACTATTAAAGAAATCTTCCAACCGATACCTGAACGCCCTTTCCCATCATCACCCTTCACAGATACAGTCGCCAACTCCCTGATTTCAAGATCCATTCGACTAACGAACAGGGAAAGCAGAATAGAAGAAATAACAAAGATAACTCTGGCCCTTTCCCAAAATGGATATTCCAGATATATGGTGAAGAAAGACACTCCAAGCCCCGGGATCCACCCCTACAAGAAAAGAGGAAACCCACCGTTGTACTACCCTATATTAGAGGAACGACTGACCACATAAGAAGACTTCTACAAAGACATGACATCACCACCTACAAGCTCAACACAACCATAGGAGCTTCTCTCAGGAATCCAAAGGACAGGCTGAAACTGGAAAATTTGGAACTACGTGGGACAGATCAACAGAAGAATAGCCACCAGAGTGGAAGAATACAAACTGAGAATCCGCAACAAGCAGCTCATCTGCTCTGTTCCTAGAGCAGTTTTAGTTCAATAAAAATATACAAGATAGTAATATCTCATGCTAACTAGCGCTACCTACCACTGTTACTAGAACTAACACTAAACCGAGAACGAGAAACATTCGGATTTGGTCCCACGTCCCTCAAGAAGTTCATAATTGCTTTAAGGGATAAAGATTGTAGACGGGAGTTTATAGGAGGAATCTTTGTAAGGTCGTAAAGGAGTTCGTTGGAAGAGTTAAAAAGTGGGTTGTGAGAGTGTTTAATGCGAGTGATAATTCTCAGGGCTGCTCTCTCTGCTACTTTCAGATGGTACTGTGATCCTCTCGGCGCTTCACTCATGATTAATGAGGCATATTCGATAATAGGTCGGCATATTGAGGTGTATATGTGAGTAGCGCATTTGGTGTTTGGTGCGGTTTTTGACTTTCATTTTTAGGCAGAGAATTTAAGGGTTCTATCCAAGGTAATGCCGAGGTAGTTGCAAGTTGGTGAAGCTGTGATAGGAGAAGATTAAATTATTATTGTGGGAGGAGCAATGCGAATAGGGAGGAAGGGGATGAAGAATTGGATTTTGGAAGGATTTATTTTATTCCTCTATGTTTTGGATGAGCGTCTGCAGCCTTAGGATTGATGATGGAATGTCTACATCATGTGCGACGAGAGTAGTATCATCGGCATAAAGTAGGGCGTAAGATATCGGATCGAAGACGTCGTTGTAGATGTCATGGCAGTAGACGTTGTATAGTGCTGGTGAGATGCGAGACCTTGTTGAGCGGTGAAACTGTGAGAGTAGTAGTTTCTCACTTTAACCAAGAGGAACGGTCTAAAAGAAATTTTTTTAGCAGGTTAAGAAGATAAGATGGGATTTTCAATATAGCTAGCTTGTACAATAGACCTCTGTGCCATACGGGGTCGAACATCCAGGAACGCTGCGGTGGATTGTTGTTTTTAGTAACGTGCGACTTGGAAGTTTGAGACAAGCACTGCCAAAGGATGAGATGTAGATCTACCTTGTTGGAATCCAAATTGGTATGACGGAATCCTCCTTGCAACAACATCGAGCAGCTTGTTCTTTAAGTGTACCTCGAAAAGTTTCCCTATTACGGTTAGCAATGAGAAAGGACGGTAGGTCGCAGGGTCGGATAGAGAAGAATCTTTCTTGGGGATGCATATGATAATAGAGGTCTTCCAGTCTTGTGGGAAATGCTGGGTGGTAAGGTAATAGTTGTAAATTTTTCTTATGTAGGCGTGGATATCAAAATCCAGCTACCTTAAGATTTCCCTTGAAATGTTGTCGTATCCAGGGACTGTGTTGGTTCCTCTGTTAAGTAGTGTGAAGTCTGCATGAGAGCATATTGAGGCGTTTCGGACGAATTAAGAAAGGCGTATTGGTACCAATTGTCTACTGTGTTTTTGTTGTGAGGGCAAAACAGGGCCTCATTGCTGAAGGAAAACACCCTCTCAAAGTATTCAGCGTGGATTTTTACGATTTTTTCCGGGCTATAGTGTCAGCAGCCATCCGTAGGGTCAGCAAGCTCCTGGGTTTCTGGCGACTTTTGGTACTTCGAAAGTTTGCGGACTTCTTGCCAGTAGTTTTTACCCTTGCTTCTGTTGATTTTGTCACAAGCCTCAATGTATTTTTCGCTTCTGAATTGCTGCACTAGTTTTTGGATATTTTTATTAAGCTCGTTGAACATTCTTTTCAGAGCAGGCTCCTCATAGGATCTAAAATCGCGGTAGAGTCGTCTTTCGGAGAGCTTTGGGTTGAGGTTCGGCTCAATCGCTTAAATTTGGCAGTTCGAGTTGTCTATAAGCCTCCTTCTTTTGATATTAATTTGTTTCTTCGTTCGTTTGAGGAGTCATTGTCAGAGATTTATGTTGCAATGGATAGAGTAATAATTTTGGGTGACTACTGATTGTTTATTTTCAACTCTAAATACTTTTAGTTTAAGGCAGATTGTTGACCAGCCAACTCGTATCACCAATTTTTCTGAAACACTCATTGATGTTATTATTATATCAAATGAGTTGCCTCTTCGTGTTTGTGACACTGTCGATGCTGGGTTCTCGGATCACTTGTTAGTTTTTTGTGGGTTAGCGATATCAATGAGTACTAAGTCTAAGGCTAGAGTTAATAGTTTTCCTGATTCACTCCATGGAATTGACGTTCGCGCCTTAAATGAGGTTCTGTAATTAATGAATTGGGAGGCTGTTCTTGATCTTAATACAATTGACGACAAACTGAATTGCTTTAATGATACTATGTTATCCTTATTTGATTTTCATGCGCCTGTGATTACTAAGGTAATCAGAAAGCAGCATTTACTAAGTATAAAAGGATTAGGAGTCAGCAGAGTTTTCAATATTATAAGACTATGAAATTACGTCACGGGTGCCATTCGCAGGGAAAAAAAGTGTTTGTGGAAAAACCTGAGGTTTAACGTGTTGAAATCTTCTGCTATTTCGTTGCCTTCTCATTTGTCAGATCTTAATGTTATCAATACATTTTTTAGTAATAGTGTAAATGACTCATTGGTTACTCCTGATATTAATCTTCTTGCTTTTTATAACAATAATAGGGTACGTCCGCTTCGTCCATGTTTACATTTAGTGAAGTCTCTACTGAGTGTATCCAGCAGAATTTATTGAACCTAAGCTCAACAGAAGTGGGATCTGATGGAATCAGCCTGGATATAATTCGGTTTAATCTTTTCGAGTTTATTCTATATAATTAGTATGGTTTTGTTGTTCTCATTCCCAAAGTTGTTCCTATCACTGGTTGTAAGGATGTGAGGTCCATTACAATTCTGCCGATTCTTTCAAAGACCTTAGAAAAATTTATGATAGAGCAGTTACATAGTTATTCATTTTGCCTTTTAAGCAGTCTGGGTTCTGGAGACAGTTCAGTTGTGATTTGACTGATGATGTACTCAGGTAAAGCCACAGTATTAATTTTACTTGATTTCACTAAGGACTTTAACGTCTCTGAGAATTAACGCCATCTGTAGTGCGAAGCTGGCATCTTCTTGCAACAGCGAATGGGTTAGGGTTTTGTGTCGGGTAGAAGCATTAGTTGAAAACGTTTACGTGCCAAATGAAAGTTCTGCTGTATTCTTTTTTTTATAATAAACAATTAATAAAAGAGGTCGCTATTGTGTATTTTGAAGTTTATTGGATTGGATGTTCATGCAGTTAAGCTATTCGATAGCTATCTATCAAATAAGGTTCAGTCAGTTAAGTTGAATTCTGTTTTATCTGATCTTGTGATCTACTCTTCTGGTGTTCCTCAAGCAATCTATTTTCCAAATTTGAGTATTGTTCTTATTATCTGTATGTGAAATTAGTAATCATGGCTTGAGGATAAATACTGATAAGACTCAGGCTATCATATTCTCTAAAAGAGGTTTGTGGATGGGTTTCTGTTCTTGTACCATTTGAGCCATTTAATTTGAATACTTTTTTATTTATTTTAGTTGTAAAGATTATTTTATTTTGCCTTGTTAATTATATTTATATTTTTTTATTTGATTCTGTTCAAATAATTTTGTATCTTGTTCTTGTTATCATTTCTGGCTCAATAAACAGTTTATTATTATTGTGTTGGTATGGTATTAGATGTAGCGCCTCGGTCGCGAATGACCTTGGCTTTGACCTTGACTGACATCAGCCGCAAAGTAAACATTTTCTAATTAAACGTCCCCTAAATGTCATTCCTGGGATGTAGTAGATTAGATTCTACGGTCCTTGGGTGATTGCAGCTATATAAATAATCTTGATGAGTATGGTGATGAGAGGATGTCAAGATCATAGTTGATTTCTACAGAATATGGAACAAATTTTTTTGTATTAATATTTGTTTTAGATGCCCTCTAACAATGAAAAGATAATTCGTTCAAAATGTAATCTACAATTCTAGTTTCGACATTGATTAAATGATGGCGCTTGTACACACTAATTCAATTAATCTCGCCAAAATTTCAAATTTTTTAATGGAAAATGTATTTGCAATAAATAAACGCTACGAATTAATTTTGCTTAATTTTTTTTAGTAAATATTCGTTTTATTTACAGGTTTTTAACGAATTCTGACAAAAAAAAGTTTCTAATAAATACGATTAAATCTTGCCTTACTGAGGTGCTAAGGATTTTTCTGTCGTTTCATTATTTTTTTTTCGGTTTTAAGTTTATTTATTACAAAAAATAACATAGAATTATTTACAAGTACACACTTACATTTAAGATTTTTTCTTCTCTCTGTATCAAAAGAAAATTTAAAAAAAAAACAACAAAATCAAGGAAAATACAGTCTATTTTAGAGTTTTGTTACCTTTTTTTTGTTTTGTTTCCTTTTTTTATTGATTAATTAATTAATTAATTAATTAATAATAAAGCTATACACATTATTTATTTAATCTTTATGTACAAAAAGAAATATGAAAACACCTTAATAATAAAAAAAGAGACTTTTTTGAAATTTGTGATTTTAAATTTAAACTAAACTTTTTATGTACATTGTTATGTAGTTCTTTTTTGGTGTGTGTGTACATTAAATGTACTTTTTTAACGATTTAATCTTAAATAAAGAGTATTTTTCGTTCAATTTAATTTTTAAGTATTAAGCGTATTTCTTGGTAAAAAAAATCGTTCGATTTTCCCTAAATAAAGCAAAAAAAATAATTTATAATCTTAAAAAGATACAAACCTCGAAAATGTTTCAAATCAAATTAATTTTAAGATCACACCTTTCCTCTCAATTTCTTTTATTCCTCCCCTTTTAATTAATTTCATCAATACTTATTTTTTTAAACTTCTTAACACATCATCGATTTGTGTTCAACACAATACGCCCTAAAACTATCGTAATCCAACGCCCAATCCGCAACAACACCACAACCAAAATGTACAACGTTGGTACAACCGCGCCTCAAACAACACAAATTCGCCCCTTTATAACCGCACTTAACACAAATCACGTTACAAGACGTCCAAACCGCCTCTTCAAGTCCAACAATTTTCGGCCCCACCAAATAAACCCCTGGCGACCACACCACGCAATCCTCGTGGGTCCAAATTTCAAATGTCTTTTCCGAAGTGGCCGTAATCCCCAATAAAAAATCGTCGTGAAAATCCCTATTTTCACTACTTTCCACAACCGCTAATTGTTGCTGTTGTTGGTGATGTTTTCGTTTGGATTTTTTTGATATTTTTGGCGCCACATTTGACGTCGGTGCGATCGCTGTATTTTGAGCGTCCAAAACGCGCGCGATTTTTTTACTTTTAAATTGTTTATCGTAAGGATCGTTTAATTTCCTTTCAAACTCGGGACAATTATTCGTTATAACGTACGGCCCGAATAGATCACCCGGTGGATAAAATTGATTCGAATTCGGTAACAAAGAAACGTCCGTTGAGTGTGGTCCTCGTTTACAAAATACGCAAATCCAACTTACATCCTTCGTTTGAGCATCGTACTTATTACTCAAAGTGCTGCAATGTAATCCTTTCGAACGCACTTTATGACGGTATTCGCTGTCGTCGTGGAATTTTTTTAACTTATTGTTTTTCTTTTCGTTATCTTCTTCCGTTGCGGTGTTTATAATACTGACTGAAACTGGGGAATCTCGTGTACCTAACATTTTACATAAAAAAGTTTAATTAATTAGATTTTTTTTTTAGGTTAAGTTAAACGTCAATTTTATTTGATTAATCGAAATAAAATAACCTCGAAACGTCATAAATTGACATTTCAATCAAAATTAACCTAAATCAAAGACGGTGGAATCGAAAAAGACTCGAGTAATACAGAAAATGTTTGAGTTAAGAAACGATTTATATCACAAATTGAAGATAAAAGATGATATTTTATGATTTCATAAAGAAATTGTAGCAATAGATGGCGAAACTGGTGGTATAACCTAAACTATACAGGATAATTCAAATTTGAACCCAACAATGGGATCTCAAAAACCATAAGAGATGCAGAAATGGTTAAATGAGGGCAAAGTTTTTGGATCTATTCTTTTCTTTGAATAATTCAATGGTTTTTAAATGAAAAAAATAAAATTATCCTATATTTTTGTGTGAAAATCAAATATGGCATTTATAAGAAAAAATAAACCTGATGATTTCACGAAAACGTTGCCTTAAGAATGTTTTTTTTTGAATTCACGAAAAAACGAAAAATAAAGAAGTTATAGGCAAAAAATCCAAAAAGTTATATCCAAAAACTTAGTTGAAAAATGCCCCCATTTAACCATTCGAATTTGAATTACCTGTATACGTTGGTGTGAAGCAAGCAAAAGGTACAATTAATCTATAACAGTTATTGCATGTCATTGCCAAATATTATTAAATATAAATGAGTAAGTAAAAAATAACCGATAGAAAATAAAAAATACAAAGTCTTTTCAAAAAGTTATTTTCAAAACGTATTGGTTCATTGGAAAGAGAACACTCTTATTAACACTTTGAAAAATTTTCATACTCATATTCCAAGAAATCGATTTTATACGAATTTTTAAAACTTAATCTGCGAAAATTGCAAAATTCGAAAATCAAAAATTTACTTCTCAAGAACTAAAAGTGATTTTTCAAAACGGCTTTTTGCATTAAAAAGAGGATACTTTAATTAATAATTGGTGATATTTCCACAAGGATCTAATACAATTTGTACCCGTTAAATGATAACAA